AGACGGGGAGGGGAACTAGCGGGAACGTATCGACACCTAAGAATTGCTCGGCAGGGAGGGGATGAACCTTTTTTGTGGAGATAAGTCAGGGGGCGGGGGAAAGCGGCCGCAACGTTAGGGGGGTACGTGCTAACGACGGGTACGCTCTAGCTGAAGGTACAGGTACAGACTGATTTGAGGAACTTCAGCAATTTGAAGAATTAGAGGAACTTGAAGAACTTGAAAATTTTGAGGGTTTGTGAGGGCTGCCTCTCGCGAAGGAAAACGAACCACCTCCCAACCGCCCGTGTGGCGGTGGGGACCTGGGGGCTCTTCCCCCTCCCTGGCGGGGAAAGAGGGGGGACGTTATTTGGGATGTATTGATGTGGGGAGGGGGTTATTCCCTCACGTCTCTCTCTTTCACACACACAATGACGGCACGCGAGTGTGTCTGTATGTATCTCGACGAATGCCGTAGATACGGCAATATCTGTCCGTCGCTGGTGTAACAGCGAAGCGAACGTACATACATACATATATATACATACATACATTCATCCCATGGGGGCGCACGTTGCGATTTTATGGGTGCTATAGGTCGGGGGCGCGCTCGCTCGTACATATGTATACGACAGCAGCAGGGGTGCAGGCGACCAGACCGGCCAAAGAGCTCGAGGGGGGGGCCGCACGGAGAAGGAAACGTTTAACACAGCGGGCGCCGGGGGCGATCTGTGGCGGCACAGCGCGGGTAATACACGTTCCTGGGGGGTTGTGGTGTGTTTTTGGTGGCGTGGCGGCGTTAAAAGGGAACATATGTGTGGGGGCCTCCAAGCGCGTGGGTGTGGGTGTGGGTGTGGGTGTGGGTGTGGGTATGGGTATGGGTATGGGTATGGGTATGGGTATGGGTATGGGTGTGGGTGTGGGTGTGGGTGTGGGTGTGGGTATGGGTATGGGTATGGGTCCGGGGGTTTGGGGGTTTAGGGGGTTGAGCACTGAGCAATACTGTTAAACAAGGTAATGGATACCAGGACAGGACGCAGAGAGGCTGACGGAGGGAGTGGAGGGGGGTTCGCGGCGTCCACCCCTCCAGTCCCCTCGTCCCGAGCGCAGTGGTACGGCAGTACGTTACGGTGTACTGCAGACTGATTCACTGTTCGGTACTGCACCAACGCGCTGAGACAGGCAACAACATGCGACCGGGCCTTAACATGTCGTTGGCAAAATGCATCATCATCATCATCATCATCATCATCATCGCCATATTCGGCGCCCGGTGCACGCAATCGCGCACTTGACGGCCCCGAAGCAACATCCCGGCCTCTTATTGTATGTATTGCATGTGCACCTGTGATAGTTAGATAGTTAGGTAGATAGATAGATAGATATGCGCTGGGTGGGGGGCATTGGTTGAGCTTGTGTTGCATCATGCGCGTGTGTAGGAGTGTATGTATATGTATATGTGCTGTCGTACGTCGTGTACGAGACACATCCAGAAACCACACGTCGGATGTGCCGTGCCAAGCATATATGTGTGTGTGTGTTTTGGCCTTGTCTTGTTGCTGGTCAACAGACCGTTAGGCGATCATCAATACGCGATCACCAATACAAACTGCCTCCATCCAATACAAACTCCGCCGCAACCGGTCATAATTAACAACCCCTCACTCGGTTTTTTTCAGCCAGTGCTCGCCCTGGCCGCCAACAGCGGGCGGGACTTTTCGCTGCTGGGAGATCTGGGCCGTAAGTGGCACACGTCCCATCCCGGCATGCGAGTGTGCAGCAGCATATAGATATACGTGTTTTGGGGCATTATATAATCCTCCGGTGTGGTGTGTCCCCCGGGGGGGGGGCCCGGGGGCGGCTACTTCCAGAGTTTGTTGCCGTTCTGTCCCTCTCCGGGTAACCGCCTCCTCTCTGGCTGCTTGCTTTCCCCCGAGCCCGAAGCCATGTGGGTTTGCAAGAGTAGTTTGGAAAGCCGGGAAAGTTTAAGTGCGAAGCAAATTACCTGGTTGGGGTTTTTGAGTTTTGGTTGGGGTTTTAGAGTTTTGGTTGGGGTTTTAGAGTTTTGGTTGGGGTTTTAGAGTTGTGGTTGGGGTTTAGAGTTGTGGTTGGGTTTTCTTTGCAGCGATGTTAGGGATGTATGGGGTGACAATGTCGGTTACAGAATTTCGTACGAATGCGGCCGGGGGGGGTGTCCGTCAATGCCGGGGCCATGGACTGCGTGTAAATTGAAAGTTGGTTCCGCTGCGGGGGTTTTGCGCCACCAGCCACCTAGACCCCTCCGCATCCACTCGCCTCACATCAGCAGAGGCAAACCTGGCACTCCCGGAGAATGTCTGGATCTACAGGAATCACACACGGGCTGTTCTAATGCAATACACATCTACGTACACATCCATTTGGGATGTGCGTGCGTGGTGTTGATTGACTCAAGGTACACATACATACACATAAGGGGGCCGCTGGAGAAGCTATACCACCCTGTAACAACATACATACATATGTATAAAATCAACACACATGTATATAATCGGCTAGCTACCATCTGGCCGCCCTTGCAACGCAGCTTATTTCTACGGGCTCGTGATATCGCTCTTCAATCAACATCATATTTTGAAAAACTAATAAAAAGTTACGTCTAAAGGTCCATTGGAAAATCCTAACACATCGCTGGTGATTATTCGGAATTCGATTCGGTAAAAAAAGTTGCCCTTGTGTCACCATAACCGGCATTTCCCGCATCATGGCTCAAAAGATCGTTAAAGCACACCGAGTCACGGAGTTAAACACAGTCGAAATTCGGGGTGGCCTGCTGTGCCGGGTGGTAACGTGCTTTGAAGGGTTACAGCGGAGTGGGAAGGAAGGAACCCGACTCCGGTATATCAATCTAACAGTCAGGGCCGTAAGCCGAAGGAAGATGCAAAAAAATAGGCAACTTTCCTTCGTAGTGTTTCATGTCGCTGTGTGAGTTCCCTACAGGTAAACTTGGTGCTTTTATTGCCACCTTCACGAGCGGCTCAAAATAGTTGGCAGTACTTTGCTGCTCAACCAGAATCAGCTCCTAAGGTCAAATACTGTTTACTTCGCAAGCACCGTGAAAATACCACAGATCCAGATCACCACAACAGAGCCTGTTCCCAGGTAGATTGGACGCGACAAGAATGTGTGCGCCGATTCGAACCCACAAACGCCGCCAGGGCAGGTCGGGAGCCCGTGCAGTTACCATTAACATAACATTTTCCGTGTCTTTACCAAAAGTGCTCCTCCCATGCCTTGCAGAAAGCCGCATCGAACTGGCATATATTTGTCAGCTGATGCTTCACTTCACACGTACTGCACAATCTATTTGGACCATGTTCTGTAGTTGGCTGCTGGGTAAGAAAAACATCAGCTGCAGCAAAAAATGAAAACCCTGGAAACCTCGGCGCGCACCCGACGGCCTTAGCGGCGATCCGGGCCCTGTAGTTCAATGTGGAGCTTACTCTTTGCGCCCGGACAGTCAACCGCGGCGCGCGTCACCTTAGGTGTGAGCTTTTTTAAGTTTAAGTTGCTGCCTACAATTTAATGATTTACTTTATAATTTCATTATTATTATTATTATTGTTATTATTATTATTATAAGTTGCGTGCTAAAAAAGAACAAGGCGGCATACAATCGCAAGGCCCCGGGCACGTCACCTGTCGGTCGCATCTCTACGTTCTGCGCTCTCCGGTCCGGGGGCCCGCCGCGCCTTGCGGTGGAGTGTCGTGTAGAAGCAGAGTAGGAGAAACGGAGCTACAACGGAGCTACAACGGAGTGCGTGTAGCGCCCTGTGGGCGATGGCGGCTCGCTGGGCAATATGGGCCCGTGGCCCGCGTTCTTGGGGCAGACATTCGTAGTGGTGTGTGACCAGGTAACAGAATGGTTGTAAGTTTATATAGGAGGATGTCGCGGTTGTGGAATGCATGGCGTGTATACGGTGTGCATGTATGTATGTGTGTTTTATTGGTCACGGTGACTCGACCTTGCAGGGTGTAGAAGTTGGATCCCGGTGGGCAAGTACCTGGCTGTGTAATGTTGGTAATACTGGACATCATGGTCTATGGAGGGCAGGTTAGTCGTTCCGTAAAAGGGGGGGAGGGTGTGAGGGAGTTGGCTGTATGGATGGAACCAGCGGATCACTGACGTGTTCGCACCTGTAAGCACCGGAATGGCACATCATAGCCGTGTAGGGTGGGAAGAGCGCACATTGCAACAAGCACACCTACCTGTAAGGTGTCGTCTATGTCTAGTTTAGGCGCGCACGTGTACGGCACAGTACACTCACGTACGGTAGGCCGACCGCCAGGCAGCAGCTGTAGCGCCCTGTCCAGCCACATGGCCGCCGCCGCCGTTTGACCGCATGAAATATATATTATATAAGTATATATATAATATATGTAGATACTTAAATTTGGTATGTATGTATGACTTAGATTACACTGTGGGCCGCGAGAGCCGGGGGCCGAAGCCGAAACACAGCGCAAGGGTCGGGAGCACACAGCACAAGTCGGTTAGTCTTGTGTGCTCCCGACCCCGACCCCGACTCAGACTGCCAACACACCACGCAGCCACTGCACAGCCCTTCCATCCTGGGATGGCGCTGCAGTGAATACACCATTTGGTATTATGTATGTATGTATGTATGTATGTATGTATGTATGTATGTATGTATGTATGTATGTATGTATGTATGTATGTATGTATGTATGTATGTATGTATGTATCATGCATAATGGATGACACAGTAGTTCAGACTCCAGCAGGAGAGACCTATCACATATATTTTATTTTCGTCCGTTTTTCGACGTCCCCTCTCCGCTCTTTCCCTGACCACGGCTGCTGATCCTGCAAAGACAATGTCTGGTAAAAATCACCCACCACTCACTACTCCAAGACTACCTCCTCACCCCTACCACTACCTCTACCACTACCCCTACCACTACCTCTACCACCACTACCGCCACCCAAACCAGAACACACACCGTCCACATTGATGGCGCATACACTCCAGTCTTTGCCAACGAAACTGCCCCGTGTTTGGGTTAGCACGGACGCATGCTACTCTTCGCTACGCACACACACACACTCTCTCTCTACCGCAACACACGTACAGACATAATTGACGCGCTCCTATGTCCTGGAATTACCATAGCAACTGATTCTTTGAACACCGCCAAGGCCCCCCATGTACCCCCATATCCAACAACCCCAAGCCCGCAGGTATATACACATGTTATATAATATGACTTAGATTACACTGTGGGCTGCGAGAGCCGGGGGCCGAAGCCGAAACACAGCGCAAGGGTCGGGAGCACACAGCACAAGTCGGTTAGTCTTGTGTGCTCCCGACCCCGACTCAGACTGCCAACATTCTACGCAGCCACTCCGCAGCCCCTCCATCCGGGGGTGGCGCTGCATATATATATATACACACCCAAAAAGTCAACAAGCCAACTATGACCACATGTCGCCAGCCCTGCACCTCAGATAATTACATGAATGTAACAGACACATACATACATACATACATACATCCTGCTTCAAACCCAGAAAGTGCCAAACAAAGAGAGAGCGTGAGAGAGGGAAAAGCAGGGGAAAGCAGTAATCCGCACGATACCCCAACAAAGTAATAAAAGGCTGAATAATTGTCTGGGACGCGCACAACCGACCGGCCGAGACCGACCGTCTAATTGTCATGGATTAACAAAACAACAGCATGGTGGAACAAATCCATTTGCCCATGGATACGTCTGTTTGTCTGTCTGTCTGTCGGACTCTCCGCTGGCGTCTAAAAACGTGACGCCTCGAGAGCACACACCCCGGTCTGTTCACACACCCCGGTCTGTTCACACCCCCCCGGTCTGTTCACACAACCCCGGTCTGCAACCGTCTGAGAAGAGCTTTGGGCTCCGTTAATAATTCCACCCACTCAATCAAAACTCGGGCGACACCAAAAGGTCCACGAGGGCGGACAGGTAATGCACGTCGAAGCCGATTCGCTCCAGCAAAGCGACTAGCCGGGGGTGAGGACGCAGACCGCCGTCAGCTCGCAGTAGCCGTGGCGGCCGTGGCGCCGCCGCCGACACCACTACAGTAGTACCGTCACTGCTACTGCTACTGCAATTGCTACTGTTGCAAGTGCCGTTGGTGGTGGCGGTGGCGGTGGTGCTGCTGCAAATGCTGTCGCCTTCAGTTGCGTGTGATTGTGATCGCGGGCGTGATCGCGCAGCAGCACCGGTACGATCACCACCACCGGCAGCAGCAGCAGCAGTAGCAGCAGCAACAGTTGCAGCAGCACCGGCGGACGTACCTTCACAGAGGCTGAACCGCAGGGCAGGAATGTGGTGCAGCGCCAGAGCGTGAAGTAGCGCCAGAGCCAGCAGCCGCCACTGCGGCTGCTTGAAGCTGGGGACGGGGCCAGACAGCCTGTGGTGGTAGTAAAGGGCGTGGGAGGGTGAGACGACGAACCACTGACGAGTGAGAGGGGGCATGGGGACACGGAGGGAGAGGCGGAGTTGGCGAGTGTGTATGTATGTGTGTATGTGTGGTGGAAGGGGGAAGGGCGATGCTAAGGGTGAGCGGGTGGCGCCAACCGCCGCCTGCTCACAAACGCCAGCAGGAGAGTGGTTTTGTGGGAGACAAAGAAGGGGGGCGGTTTGCAGCATGCGCCATACACACATGCACCATACACACATGCACCATACACACATGCACCATACACACATGCACCATACACACATGCACCATACACGCATATACACATACAGATGTACAAGTGCACGCACCTGAACGACGCCACCAGCGCCGTCATCTTGCGGTCTAGGTCGGATTGCGGCACCCCTACCGCCAGCTGGCTGCAGCAGTCCCGTACCGGCCCCGTCAGCAGCTGCAACAGCGCCCCCCGGGCCTGCAGGGCCCACGGAGCCGCCATCCCCCCGGGGCCCTCCTCGGAGTACGCGTCGTCCTCCAGTGCAGGACCTACGCGCGCGTGTGTGTACGTGTGTATGTGTACGTGTATGTGGGCGGGGAGGGGGGAGGCAAGGGGGGAATCACGTGCATGCTGGAAAGGAAAGGGTTCACTGCCGGGAATGTCCACAAAACGGCAGCTGCTGATGATGGCCCCCGGGGGCGCCACCGTTGGATGGATACCTCCTCCGGAATAATAAAATAATACGAGGGGAAGGCGCGTGGGAGTAAGGGCGGGCGGTCCCCGAGGGAAGGAGGTAGGTAGGGAGAGCGTAATCGCCTCCAGACGGGCGAAGGGGCAAACGGGTGGCGCAAAGTGGTGCGAAGGTCCGCCGAATGTGCGACTTGGGTTTGATCTGCTGTCCCAGGGTTGCGTTTGGGGCGAAGGGGGAGAGGCTCAGAAGAGCACTTGCCACGCAGCACAGTGCAAATAGACCAATAGAGGTTGGTACAGGTAAGTAGAGGTAGGCGCACGGTGCAGGACGGAGGGTGCGCGGTGCAGGACGGAGGGTGCGCGGTGCAGGACGAAGGGTGCTAGCGGCCGGGCATATCGAAGGGCTTGCAAGAATGAATGTGGAAGCATGAACATAGGCACTGTGCACAAACCCCAAGGCACCAAACCCTAAGAATAAAACCAAACCTATTATAAATAAAGCCCTATCATAAAAAAAACCTTCTCGACGCTTACCAGGGTTTTGCAAAGGCCCTAGGCCGATGCCCACCACGAACGCCACCGTACGACTGTTGACCCAACCCACAAGCGCCGTCTGAACTTGATTGTACGGCGACAAGACCGCATGGTAGTGTTGTGTCGTACGGTGAAAGTACGGCAGCATGGATCTGCGAAAGGGATGATGAAAGGACTGTGGGTTACGAAGGACGGGGCTGGGATAGGGGGGGGGCCGGGCCCAGCCGCGTATCCGAAAGTACTTTTAGGGGACGCAAGACTCGTGAAAATGAAGGAATACACATACGCATGCACCCACATACCTCCCTACCTCCCTACCCAAATACCTAGGTACACAAAGCTCATAAGCTCACTAGGGGTTGCAACTACAAACGCTTACTCGATGTCCAACGACGCACCACTTCCAGCCTTGAAAATTTATCAATTCCGCATTAACCTCTTTTTCTCGCCTCCCCATCCCCTACCCCATCCCGTCCCCCATCCCAGAGAATCGCCTGACAGCTCCTCCTCTTCCTCTCCTTTCTTTCTCCTCTTTCGAAAACAGGAACCCCCCCCCACGCACTCACGCACTTGTAATTGTAGTCTTCAGCGGAGTCAGACGCACTGGAGCCCGCACCGTCTTCGCCATCACCATCATTCTCCGACAGGGAGTCCAGGTCGTCACGGAGCATCCAAGGCTCCAAGGGTATGGGCGCATCAGCATCAGCGTCAACATCCGCGTCAACATCAGCATCCGCATCAGGATCAGGATCACCAACACTTCCTTCCACGGCGGCCGCGGCGATGGCAACAATGGCAGTGCCGGCAGCAGCAGCGGCTGCACCGCGGCCAATACCGTCACCACCATCACCATCGCCACCGCTGACGGCCGCAGCAACATCGCCGCCATCGGCAGCAGCTCCGACGCCCTCCCATAGAGCAGGCTGGGAAGGCGGCTGCACCGCAGACGCAGCCGAAGGTGGCTGCAGCAACCCGGACACCTGACCAGGCGCCTCGCCGGCGCTCCTCATTGCGCCAGCTGCAGCTGCAACTCTTGCAGCGATGGCGGCTGATCCCGGCCCGGCGTCCGCTGGTGCTGCTGCCGCTACTGCTGCATCGCTTTGTTGTTGTTGCTCCTGTCGTTGCTGTTGATGTTGCTGTTGTTGTTGTTGGTGGTGGTGGTGGTTATAGTGGAGGCTATCAGGACAACAGCAAGGTTGCGGCTCGGCCTGCTCTTGACGCTGTTGCTCCTGTTGTTGCTGACATGGTGATCGCTTCAGATGGTGGGTGCTATGAAAGTCGCTGGGGGAAGAGCTGTCGGCAGCGGCGCCGCCGCCGCCGCCGGCGGCCTCTCGCACTTCACCTGCTGTGGGGCTGGTGGGCGCCGCCGCCGCCGGCGGCATGTTCAGAGTGCCAACAACACGCGCCTCCCGCTGCTGTTGCTGCCGCTTCGTCTTCCACAAGCTGCTACTGCCTCCACGATTGGCGTTGGCTCCCTGCCCCGCCGCTGCCTCCACCATTCCCGCCGCCCCGCCACCGCGGCGCGTCCGTACAACTCCATGCGGCACCGTACCATCTCCCTTGGTGCTTCGGCTCCCGCCCCCGCTCCTCTTCCTTGTCTGCAGCACCTCCTCCTCCTCCTCCTCCTGCTCCGCCTCCTCCTCTCTCCTTCCTTTCCCTCCCTCCCGCTCCTCCTCCTCCTCGGCCTCCCTCTCCTCCTCCTCATCCGCGCCTGCCAACGTCCCCGCATACAAATCATCCGCCAACTCATCGGCATCACGGTCATCATGTACGAACCGCTCATGGTACAGCTCCTCGTCCTCCGCCTCCTCCTCCTCATCGTTGTACTGCTCGTCCTCCTCGGGGGAGTACGGCTGACTCTCCGGGGGAATGGGCACGCCGGCGCCGGAAGCCCGTTTACCGCTACGGACATGAATCACGTGGACCTTGGGGCCCCCGCCAGCACCGGCAGTGCTGCCGCCGCCGCCGCCGCCGCCGCCAGACTGCGGCGGCTCCGCCCACGGAGCCCAGGGGTCAGTGAGCGTGAGACCCGGGTTTCGGAGCGCCTTGCTCGCGTTGGGAGCCGTAAACGTGCTTGCGGCGACAGTGCGCGCGGAGGATTGAGGAGGAGGAGGAGGGTGTGAGGCTGCTGCGTTGATGTCGTCGATACCGGGCTCGCCGACGACGTCCGGCGGCCGTGCCGCTGCCGCTGCTGGTTCCGCCTCCGCCTCCGCTGCCCCCGCTCCCTTGCGCTTCATCGCCGTTGCCGTGGCCGTGGCAGGTACTCCTGCTGTTGACAGCGGCGCCACGTCCTCCTCCTCCTCCCCCAACTCTGCTGCTGTTTTAGCTGAAACCACCACCGCAGCCGGCCGCGCCGCCACTTCGATCACCCCAGGTGCCCCTGTCTGCACCGCCCCTCGGCCCCCCGCTGCCGCTGCCGCTGCTGCCACTGTCAATCCGCCCTGCTGCGGCGCAATCTGCGCAAAACGTTCCCGCGGCCCACCCGCACCTGGTCGTACGCCCTCTAGGGCTTCCGGCGCCTGTGCCTGTGCCTGCCCTGTGCCCGGTTCCTGGCCCCCCTCCTCCTTCCCGTGCCCCTGCGCAGGTGCCGGGCGATGGCCAGGTGACGCCACGTCCAGGAACACCACTTTGCGGCGCTGCTGAGATACGTTGGGCAGGAAGCGCCGTAACCCCTTCGCAGTGGTACCAGCAGCAGCAGTAGCAGCAGCAGCAGCATGGGCAGATGCAGCAGCGTGGGGGGCCCGGCCGAAAGGGGCTACGGTGGCTGTTGGAGCGGCAGCGGTCTGGTCCTGGTGCTGGTCCTGGCCCGGGCGGTTCTCCTGGCTTGGAGAGGCCCCTGGCATTGCCGCATGGGTACTCTCCGCAACCGACCCAACCGACCCGTTTTCGCTACCAGCACTCGCACCAGCACCGGCACCAGCACTCGCACCAGCACCGGCACCAGCGCCGCCGCCATCACCACTACCTGCCGGTGCTGCTGGTTCAGATGGCCGGATATGTACGGCAGGGGGCGTGTACGGAACTAGCCGGGGCTCACTGGAGCTCGCTGCCGTCATCGCCACTGCTGTCTCCCTCGCTGGAACTGATTGGAGCTGCGCCCCGGCGGCGGCGGCAGCGAAAGGGGAGTCGGAGGGCGCCGGGGCTGAGGAGGCGTGTCGGTTGGCAGTGGTTGTGGCGGTTGCGGCGCCGTTGTTGCTGTTGTCGTTATCCGCGGTGGTGCTACTGGTGGTGGCGGCGGCGGCTGCCTGGTGAGGGTGCGACGGCGGCGGCTTTACCGCAGGAGCATGAGGGTGAGGGCGTTGGGCGGCTCCGCTGCCTGCACCACGTCTTCTCCTCCCGACGCCGGTGCCCCCGGCCGAAGGGGGGAACCACAGCCGCATGGCGCGAGGTGGCGTGACTGCGGCTGCAGCGGCAGTAGCATCAGCGCTCCCTGGAGTGTGCTCCTCTGCAGCGCAGTAGTAGCGGAGGTGATAAGGATGTGGAGGTGGGGTGGAAAGGTGGTTAGATGGGTAGTGAGGAAACAGCAAAAAAGGTTGCGTAATGAAAATGCATGGCGCAAGGGTTTTCGGGAGGAGGGGCAGCACGGGGCGCTTCGGGAGGAGTACGACAACACGCAGGTGCGGGTGCGGGTGCCCCCGCCAGCCCCTCACCCGTCCGCAGCCCACTCGTCCGTCTCGCCTCCGCTGCTGCCTCCGCCTCCACCTCCGTCGCCACTGCTTCCAACACCTCCGCCGCCTCCACAAAACGAAGAGTCCCGTGGGACCCCGCCGCCGGGCCCCGTTGACACCGGGGCGCACGAGGTCGCGGCCGCTGTGGCCGCCCCGGGCCCCCGCTGCTACTGCTGCCGCCAGTGCCGCCGCCACCGTCACCTCCGCCACCGTCCACCACCTCCTCCTCCAACTCCTCCTCCTCGTCTTCCTCTTCCATGTCGAAGAGCAGTAGGGGTTGTTCTACGATGGCGCTCACCATGGATGACGGTTGCGGTGGTTGTGCTGTTGCTTGTGGTTGTTGTTGTGATGATGATGGTGGCGCTGCCGGCTGTGATAGTTGCTGTTGTTGTTGTTGTTGTTGTTGTTGTTCTGGGGATGGTTCATGTTGTGCTGACGTTGCTGGTGACAGTGCTTGTGAGGGTGACGGTGACGATGATGACGGTGCCGGTAGTTCTGGTGCTGGTGAAGGCGATGGCGCTTGTGATTGTCCTGCTGCTGCTGCTGCTGATGATGATGATGTTGGTGGTTGTAGAGCAGATGGCGATTCTAATGATGCTGGTGCTGGTGCAGATGACGCCCTCAATTTGCTTCTAGTTGACGAGGACGCGGTGCGACGGGAGGGGTCCGCGGACATACGGTACACGATCTGCATGTGTGCGCGGCGACAGGAAAAAAAGTTGGTCGTAGTTACGGGGCGCGTGTATATGCGTGTTTTTGTATATGTGTGTGTTTTAATCATATGAACCGTGGGCAGAAACTGCCCTGTGTGTTTTCGTGTTTGTGTGTTCATTCCAGGTTTCCTTGCATATGGTCTTCCTTCCCCCCCATACACACACACACACACACCTTGGGCCCAAACGTGACCCGCTTCCGCTCCCGATCCGCTTCCGCTGCGGGCGCTGGGTCCGTCTCCGCCGCTGTGGTGGCGCCTGCCTCCCCTTCTCTGCCGCCACCCTTCACCTTTAGGGAGCTGTGCTTCCGCAAACTGGATTTGAGAGCACCCGCGGGGGATGGCGGGGGGGCTGGTGGGGCCGCACCGCCGGAGGGCGACTCCACAGGTGCTGACGGCACCGGCTGCGGCTGCGGCGGCTGTGAAGACGTTTTCCTCGGCTTCCCGGCGGACCTGGGCACATAGCCTTCGACCGCTTCATGTATGTTGCCGCCAGCGATGGAAGCGGCGGCGGCGGTAGCGGCGCCGCTTGAGGCCTGTTCCGCCGCCAGTTTGTCCAGCTGCCTTCCCCCCGCTACCGCCGCCGCCGCCGCTGCCGTCGGGTCGCGTTCCCGTACCTCCGCCATCATCGTCGCAACACCACCGCCCTGCGCCGCCACGTCCTCCAGGCCCGGCCTGCGCGGCAAAAGAAACACGCGTAGAAAAAGGTTTCCAACGGGGACCAAATAAGTAATTAACATTTCCCTTTCTTCTACACAAACTCCCCCCCTCATCCTTCTCCACCCTGACCCACAGCACCAACCATCCCCTCCTCTCCCCTAACTCTTCTCGCCTACTCTCCTCCTTCCCCCTAAATCATTCTCCGTTTCCCTCCCCCACCCAAACCTTTGTTAACCCCCTCACCGCCTCGCCTTCACGCTTACAACACGTCTGGAGGTTCGTGTGCCACCTTTCCGTAACCCAGCCCAATTCATTGCCCCCAATTACGTCAGAAGTTCATTTCCGTGCCGTGTTTCTTGCAGACAATTCCCCTCCAATTTCTCTACCCCCCATCTCCGCCCCATCGGCCCTCTCACCTTCTGGGTGCATGGCTAACCGCCAGCATCTCCCGCACCCCCGGCTGCAACCGCTCCAGGGGGTTATTACCCAACTGCCGTGCGTACGACTCGATTACCAGCTCGCAGGCAGCACTGCAGAAGTGCGATGGAGGCGGCGGCTCAACGAAGCCCGCCGCGGGTTCCCAGCGCCGCCGTGGCGGTGGTTGGGCGATGCAGTGGGTGGCTCCACACAGCGGATTGCCGCACCGTCCTAAGTGAGGCGAGGCGAGGTGAAGTAAGGTGATGGGGGACTTATGTGATGATGATAATGATGATGATGATAATGATGATGATAATGATCATGCACAGGTCAAGGAAACATCAGCCGCCGCCGTAGGTAAGGGGGTTCCCGGCGGTGTGTCGGGTCGTTATGGAGGTGTGGAGTAGGAGGATGGAGTAAGGCAGGGTAGTAGGTGGGAGGGTGACTAGGGTGACAAGGAAATAACACGCAACCACCGGGCCAGGGGTTGGGAGTGCGGCGGGGATGGGGGTGAAGTGAAAACGGGGCCAAAGCGAAATCCCAACCACAGCGAAATCACGAAAGGCGATAGACAGCCCAAACGACCCGTTGATCGGCTTCCTTGCGAAGGTGGAGTGGAGGTGGAGTGGGACATCCCGGGCGGCCTCTGGGGCCCCCAGTCTTCCAATCCACCCACGCGCACCCACCCACCCACACCCACACACCCATGTCCGTAACCACCACATCCGCACCCGCACCCGGACCCACCCGCCAGCGCTCGCTCTTCCGCCACCTGTTGCAGCTCCTCCCCGCTCATAGCGGCTACCAGGTAGGACAGGTGGTCGGGGTCACGAGCGCCGCAATCCAGAAGCAACAACATGGCAGTGAACACCGCACGACGACGCCGAGCCTCGAAGTCATCCAGGAAGTCTGAAGCCGATGACGGCAACAGCTCCGCATCGCCCTCGTCAGCATCGTTAGCAGCTGCGGCGGCGGCGGTTGCAGTGACATCGCTCCTGCTGCCGCCGGATTCCCTGGCGCCGCGGCTCTTGGAGGCGGGTACTGTGGTGGGACGGGTTGTTTCAGCGCCGCTGGTGGAGGAAGCTGTGCCAGCGCTAGTGTCGCTTTTGGACATGGAGCTGGGGTCCGCGGGAGGGGCGTTGGGGGACGCCGGGGCGTGGCCGCCTGAGGTGGCTGTGGTGCGGGGTGTGGTGTTGCAAGCCGGATGTACGCAAGCTGATACTGTCGCTGGCGACAACTGATTAGCATCCCGTATTACTGGAGTTGTAGCTATTGTTCTGGAGGATTCAGTGGTGCTGGGAGTCACATTAGGATCTCGTTCAGGCCCGGCCACGGCCGATGCATCGCTGGAAGATTCCGCCGCGTCGCTGATGTGGCCAGCGTTTGCTGAAACGTTTGCCTGTGAAGCATGTGACTGATCGTTCTCCGGCTTTGTGCTAACTTCTGTGTTCGTGCAGCCAACGTTCGTTGCATCCGCCGGCACGAGCGTTTCGTTTTGGTCCTCATCATAACTCAAAATTGGAAGGAAAATATCAGTCATGGTGAAACTCTTATAACAGCACGGATTCAACTCGTTTCCCCAAAGGAGCTTGAGAAGCAATCAATTTACATTTGTTGTGGCCCGTAGGCCTACAGTGAACAAAGATTAAGTCTCATGCCAGCACACAGGTAATCATCAAAACATAACTGTATACCACTTGAAGTAAAGCATCTATCTTTTGTTCTTGCAACAAATGTGTACAACGTGGATTGCATGCTGTGCTCTCTGCGGCGGGAAGCCCTACGCATGAACAGTCAGCTGCAATTCAGTTGTGTCAAACTTTAAGTATACAGACACTAGGACCCAGGCGGGAACGCTGGAACTATGTCAAAAAATATGGCCGATGCTATACCTGACGCTTTAGCATTACTAGCCTCCGGCTTTGAACGTGATGGCTGCCCGATACAGGCAATCCATTGCCTCCAGGCCCTTGCCAATAGGCAGTTACCATCAGACTTTGAGGCCAAGGCACGGTTGCACTTGGGTCGGTTGCTGCTTGAGCACACTTACAACTTTAAGGAGGCCTTGTGTCATCTTCTACGCGCGGTATGATCCATGCATGCCCATCTGCTGCGTCCGGACTCGACAGCGCCCTGATAATGGTCCTGACCCGGCTGTCACGCACCTGCGCAAATGACACCAACCTCAGCAAATCTTGGCTAGGAGCTTAATTGGTAACTATTGCTTGAAGTTAGAAATTCAGGATCAACTTGGGACATGTTATCAGTACTTAAAGGAGGAGGCTATGGAGTTGCAGGTCGGTAGCTTGCACACCGTTAGCGGCCACGATGCCACCCCAGCAGAGTTCACACCGACACATTGCGCCATACGCATGAGGCAAAACATGAAAGAAAAAGCTATTTTCATAAGTCTGCATGTCCTTCCAGCCCGCCGGGGATGGGACAGGACTAGAACCCTGGGCCGCTTCGTGTCCATCCACGCCCGCGCCTAATACCCCATACATCCCACCTGCCCCCTTCCCTCCGCGAAACTTCGACACTTGGTTTTTTGACCTTGCAAATAACCAAGGCACTTGTTGCATTCCTTTATGCGTGAATTACGCGCCGGGGAGCTGGCGTTTTGGGCGTCGGTAGTTGACTATTTTCTTCTTGCTGCACATGTGTCCCCCTCCATCCCCCCCATCCCCCGATGCATCTGGGTCTTATACTTTCCGCGGGGGCTACTCCTCTGCCTTAAACAAGCCACTTGCCTGCTTTGGGGCCCGAGGGGGGCAACCAACCAGAGCTTTCCGCCCTCCCCGGGGGGCCCCCCCTCTGCGTTCTGTTGTGCCTAATGGTCCACCAGCTGACCCAAATGGCCGTACGGCCACCACGAAACACACACAAACACACACAGTCTTTCACATTCCATACAAGTATACACTTCCACTCGACAGGCGTATACGGCGATTTCGGACCTGCTTCCCAAATCTAACCGGAGCTCCAGCGACTGGTATGCAACCACAGAACTGCGGGAGGAGAGGGAGGGAGGAGAAAGGGGAAATGCTTAAGCGGCGCTGAGGCGCGTGTGTTTGTGTGTGTGGATGGATGGATGGATGGGTGGGTGGGTGGATGGATGGATGGGTGGGTGGATGGATGGATGGGTGGATGGATGGGTGGGATGGGTGGATGGATGGGTGGGTGGGTGGGTGGATGGATGGGTTTGTGGATGGGTTTGTGGGGAGAGAAGAGAGCATTGGTGCTGGGGTGCGATCTCTAAGCGATTTGGGTCAGTCAGGTCATGGATTACAGCGCACATCACGACTTGCATTTGCCCATCATAAGCCCCATGGTCCGGTCCGGTCTGGGGTCCGAGCTGGGCTGAGCTGGGCTGAGCTGTGGTGGGGTGGGGTGGAGAAAGACGTCGAGGCTGCTGCCGTGTGTGGCGCTATTGTGTCTTATGGCATCTTCCTACGCTGTTTTATGCTGTGCTGTGCCGCATTAACAAGTATGCTGCGCTGTGAGTTCAGTTAACCGCCCCCCAACCCCGTTCCGCTGCACCCGCTTCGCGGCCGCCGCCAAACAGGCCGGTCGTGTGCGCGTGGATGTGTCGTCTTGCCCAGCGTGCCGCGGCTGTCCACGCGCGGTGTGGTCGGGGGGAAGAGGCGGTTCTGGCGGCTCGGGAGGGGCTGGCGGTCGCGGAGGCGAACGTGCTCCAGGAACAAAAGGTAAAAAGCCGCGTCGTGTGTTTTGTGGGAGACTGGGGCTTAGGAGGACAGGGAAGGGGGTTGGTAGAGGGGGGAAAAGAGAGAGAGAGTGAGAAGGGTGGGGAGGGGGAGAGGAATACGTCCTGGGGGAAAGAGATGCGGTAAAGCCGAGAGATGGGAGTCCTCCGGTCCCTTAATCCCGCTGAAACACACCTCCCGTCGTTGCGGGAATCCCCCTCCTTTCCCAAATCCTGCCTACCCGCCCGGGGCCCCCCCCTTCGTTGCATAACCTGAAATGTCGTACCTGGGAGAGCTTTGATGGTAACATTGGGGGTGGCAGTAGCTGCAGGGCACCACTCTGTAGACCTGCACTTGGTACCTTGCACGACGTCTGTTTTTATTCATGGCCCTTCACTTCCTCTTCCCCCCGGCCACCAGCAGCTTCACTCGTTCGTGGTTCGTCTTTCCCCCCCGGCCACCACTCCGGGGCCCGGGGGTTTCCCTTTTCGGCCGACAGGTCATCTTCCTGCTCATCTTGCTGCAGCTAGCGTTGGGTCGCTGGGACCATGCAGCAGTTGACTCAGCGCTGAACTCCCTTCGGACTGCCCTCACGGATACGGCGACAGCGGCGGCGGCGGCGGTGGGGAGGGGTACCGGCGCGACAGGTAGTGGTGGTGGTGGTGGTCTGGATCCGTATTGGCATCCGCACGTGCTGCTGCACGTGAGCCTGTTGCAGGTAGGTGAAGAGCGACAAGGGGGAGAGGGTTTGGCGCCGGAGGGATTGGGCAGGCGGGGGCCGGGCAGGGGCGGGAGGGCCAGTTCGGCGTCGAAAGCGCCAAACTGGGATGAGGTCATCTGGCCAACGCGTGTGTGTATTTCTCCCACGGTTTCTGATGCGCCTCCGCCTCCGTCTTCTCGATGCCTGCCTGCCTGCTGTGGCATGTCGTCAGAAGCCCTAACCTTACACTGCTCGGTGCCGGGCAGTGCTCGACAGTGCCGGGCAGTGCGGGGCAGTGTGGGGCAGTGCCTGCCCGGCATCCGACAGACAGACAGACAGACCCAATTGGGAAAATTTTCCGGTTCGCCCCCCCGTGCCGTCGGCTTCTCTCATTGTATTCCTCTCTTTCCCTTTTTTTTCTCAGGTACTGTATTTGCTACGTCTGGGAAAGGTTACGGAGGTGGTCAAAGCCGAACCGCAGGGGGCTCCAAAGCAGCAACAGCAATCGGCACCGGCAACAGCCGCCGCCGCCGTGGCCCCTCCCGACCCTGACGGGCCCGATATGCCGCCGCCGCCCGTGCTGGAACGACTTGAGGCCCTGCTGCAGCAAATCAAACAACAACAACAACAGCAGGGTCAAGGGCAGTGGCAGCAAGGTGGGTCGGGGGTTGTCCGTTGTGGTTGTGCGAAGAAAGAACGGAGACTGCGGGCGACTGCAGGTTCAAAACTTGTGAAGGGTTAAGGTGGGGGTTGGCGGGTAGCGGGTGGCGGGTGTTTCCGCATCCCCTTGTGGGTTGCGGCATGCCGTCAAGGGCAAGATGAAAATCTGCACTCTGTGCTAGATGGGCGAGAGCCCGCCGCGAAGGTGGGTACATGTGGGGGACCTGAGGGGAACCTGGGTTGATGGTGATGGTGGTGGAGAGAAAGGGGTAGCGGGCTAGCGGCTGTGTGCTTTGCATGTTGCGCATGGCAAGCGCGCATGGACCGTTGCATGGACCGCGCGCCAGCAAGAGCCCTTGTGGGGGGGGGTGTTGCCCGAATGTGCGAAGAAGATTGTTGTGATATGTGATATGATGGGTCCTTTTCCGATGGGTTCCGCAATGAGTTCCAGCCGGCCGGGTTGCCTGTCCTCATTCGGCCTTCCTGTCGGTGTACCTTGTGTCAAATCGGTGTCTCGCGTCTGCGTCTCACCCCACTCACAGGGCTTCTTCCGTCCCGTACCTTTGACGGAAGTGAGGGAAGTTGGCATAAAGGCTTTATTGTATACCATACAACGTATATTGCCGTATGAAATGAAGCGCCCCGAACCCACCCAGCCTGCTTCGGCCTTCGATTTGCGCTTCGGACACACACACACACACACACACACACACACACACACACACGCGCGCGCGCGCGCGTCTCGTCACTCGGCCCAGCAGCGGTCGTTGAAGCCTTTGTTGTTCACTTGTGCAGGAGCCTCTCACATGATTCACCGCTGCCATGTTTTCCACTGCCACTGCACTTCCCCAAATTCCTTTCCTCCCTATTCCCCTTCACTCGCTCGTGGTTCGTCTTTTGGACTCCCCCTTCCCCCTTCCCCCGCGTCAGCGACCCTCTCGCCGTTCCCAGGGTTTCAATGCAAGGTGTGGGTAACTCATACCCAATTGCGTCGATTGATTTGGACGCATACGATCCTATACGGCGCCTTGGTCGTGTCTTGGGCACTTGACTTTGAAGAATCGTTAGCTGGCTTCTTACTTTTTGCTAACGCTAATGCTAAACCCCTTCCCCCCGACAGGCGCTAACCGACTGCCGTACATCCTGCCTGGCCTTCCCAGCCTGGAGCCGCTGGTGTGTTTGGTGTGCGCCACTGCCCTACGTGCCGGCAGCACACGGCCGCGCCTGGTGGAGGCATACTTGCAACGAGGTGGGGTGTAAAGAGGTATAAAGAGAGGGAAAGAGAGGGAAAGAGAGGGAAAGAGAGGGAAAGAGAGGGAAAGAGAGGGAAAGAGAGGGAAAGAGAGGTGTAAAGAGAGGGAAAGAGAGGGAAAGAGAGGGAAAGAGAGGGGAAGGGGGAAGGGGGAAGGGGGAGATTTGGATGCAGGCGCGTCGTAGGGGAGGAGGGAGATGGCAGGTGGTGTGTGTGTGGGGGGGTAAGTAATAGCGTCACAGTGTTGAGGGGGGGAGGGGAGGGCGGGGCGGAAGGGGAGAATGATGTGCGGAATTCGGACCAGAGGACCACCTTTCCACGGAGGGACAGAAGGGGGCCCCCAATGGACAGAAACGAATTGCGAGTGCTCTATTTTATATCTTGTCTTTTCTGGGAGGTTGTTTGGAGTGGGGGATGTGAAGTATGTCCGGTATGTGACATGTGTGGACCGTATCCGCCTCCTCCCTGACCTCCCCCCAGTATTTCCCCGGCAGCTGTTTGCCAGTCGGTGCTCTGAATGTCGGCAGCTGCTTCCGGGACCTCTGCGCCACCACAACCACCATCATGATCAGTATCATCATCAACAGCAGCAGCAGTAGCACACACACACACACTCTCTCTCACACACACAGACAGACAGAGACCCACTTGTCTTATCCGTTATCTCTGGCCGCCGGTAGGTCTGGCCTGCACCTCCCAGCTGTTGCTGGCTGCGGGAATCGATCCCCTGACCCCCAGCGGCGGGGGCGAAGGTGGCGGTATGGATGTCGAGGAGGCTGGCCTGCCCCATCAGATCGTCGACCATGCCAGGACGGGTTTGCAGCTGCATGCACTGGTGCTGCAGTGTAAGATTCAAGTGGAGTTGGCGAAGGTAAGGGGGGTGGGGGTTGTCCGGGGAGGGAGGCGGGAGGGGGGCGAGAGAGGGGGGTAGGGGGAGCAAGGCGGTGCCCCTAAGGAAATCCCCTAGGGGTCGCACCCACCGGGAGCTTGCACTTCCGCAAGTTATGTTTTGGGCGACGGTAGTGGTTTTCTTACGCAAGGTGTTCTCCCGCCAAAAACCCCCGCCCCACCAAAACTCCCTTTTCCCCTTCCAGGCCGAGCTCCGTGCCGCCCGGGATGACTTGCTGTGTTGTCAGCAGCTCCACGAGCGGTTCCCCTCCCTGCTCCGGGGTCTCCTACCCGGGGCGCATCTGGTCACCGGGCAGTACTGTGTGGCCACGGGGGAGCTGCCGGTGGCTGTGGCGCATTTCGAGGTGTGTATGTATGTATGTAAATATGTATGCATGTATGTATGTATGTATGTATGTAAATATGTATGCATGTGTGTATGTATGTATGTTCGGGGGGAGGAAAAAAGGGAAGGGAAGGGAGTTATATGCAAGACATAGTGGGTTGTTGAAGTGAGGGAGTCGGAAAGAGCATAAGGGATGGCCTCCCCTTGCCCCCCTTACCCTCCCTTGACTCCGACTTACAATCACGACCGCTCCCGCGCAGTTCGCCCGGCGCAACGCACCCAGTCGGCCTGCAGCCGCCCTGGCTGCCGTACTGGAGGCCGAAGTACATTTGTCCGTACGGCCCAATACACACCCCCAAGCCCAGCAACATCAGGCGGCCGGGGCCGGGGGGGATGTGGGAAGTGCTTTGGCGGCCCTGGGGCCTTTTTACGCTGCAGCGCAGGAAGGGTGCGTGAGTGTGTGGTGGGGGTGTGGCTGCGGGTGGTGGGGGTGGTGAGGGTGGTGAGGGGGGGGAGAAATGGCTACCGGATTTTGCACACGTGAACGCCAACGGGCTGTGGGGGATGTGCATGTGCCATGTGCATGTGTATGTGTGTGCGTGTTTGCATAGGCCAACCGCATTGCAGGGTTGGTCGAGGTATGGTACGTGTGCGTGCGTGTGTGTTTTGGGGGGATGGGAGAGTAGCTGGTGCCCTGCCTTGAGGTGTGTTTGTGTGTGGGGATTGGTCGTGGAGGAGGACTCAGGATCATCTGCCGTCCGGCATTGTCATCCGGGGGGTTCCCCGGGCGCTACGGGGGTACGACACTTTGACACGAACACACCGAGGTTACGTCCCGCCATTCCCTTTTTTCCCTTACCTTCCCCCCCTCCCCCCTCCCCCCCACACACGTACGTACGTACGGCACACGTGCCACGAACCTCCAGGACCACTAACCCCACGTCTGTCAGCGCCAGCGGTAAGCTTGCTGGCAGTGCCATGGCGGCGGCGGCGGCGGCAGTGGCTGGCGGCGGAGGCGGTGTCGGTGGCGGTCCGGATGTTGGCGGTCTGGGTAACCTGGAGGAAGCTGCTTGCATGCTGGCGAGTGCTTCATGTCTGGAGCAGCAGGGGGAGCTGGCCGCAGCGAATCAACTGGTGAGGGCGTGTGTGTGGGGGGTGGGGGGTGGGTGGGTGCGTGGGGGGGGGGATGGGTATGTGTGCGAATGTGTGTGTGTGTAGATGGGTATGTGTGTGTATGAGCGTGTGTGTGTGGATGTGTATGTATGTGTGCTTGTGTATGAGGGGGCCCTTGGGCATTCTTCTCATAAGGGATAACAGTCTAACACGCGCTTAGAGTTCCTATTTATTGGCTGGTTCTGCTGCTGCTGCTGCTGTGGTGGTGGTGGTGGTGCTGCTGCTGCTACAGCTTTCCCGGGCTCTCAAGTTGGCGTTCAAGCGGCTGGGGCACACGCAGCTCACCTGCGCCATCCTCAACCAGCTGGCGCCCATCATCATGAGCCAACAGCCGGGACAGCCCGACACACACTCCGCCTCGGAGGCAGCCAAGTCAGCTGTCACGCTCAGCCAGCAAGCGGGTGGGTGATGAGGGGGTGGTGGGGGCCCCCCGGGGAAAGGGGAGGGGTAGAGGAGCGTGCGCGAACTCGTTGGGCTTTTTCGGTCTTTGTTAATGCACTGCCGTACAGACTTACTCTTACTGTTTGTCTGTAACCCCCTCCCCGCCTCACTTCCCCTCCCTCGCTTCACTCGTTTGTGGTTCGTCTTTCCCCGCCTCCTTGGTTTTCCCCCCCCCCCGCCCAGGGTTTTAACCTCCCCCCGTGTTACTTCCTTCCCTGACTTCCCTTACAAACCCGAGTACCCTCACGCCCCTCGCCCCTCGCCCCCAGTTTCTGTTTTCGCCCTACCCTACCCTCCCTTGGACGGCCCTCCCTCCCCGCCGTCAATCGCCTGTAGTTCGTCTTACCCTTCCCCCTATCCTTTCTTGTTCCCCGGTCCCCCCCCGTCTGCCGTGTGTTTCTCGTTATTTCTCTTTCCTTCTCTTCCCTTCTCTTTTTTCTCTCTTTCTTTCTCTTAGAACGCCCCACCTACCTAAAATGTCGGCCTTTTTGTCGGCCTGCCTTTCTTTTGACTTATGCAGCATCTAGTCGCACCCAGTTCCTAACCCTTTCCCCCTAACACTCCTAACCGACCGCACACGACATACGACCGACCGACATACCGACCGATCCACAGGGGACTTGTGGGCTGAGGCTCAGGGCAAGCAGCTGCTGGCGGCCATCGCGCGCGTCCGGGGTGAACCGGACCGCGCGGCGGCGGAGGCCGCGTCGGCGGCTCGGCGGCTGCACCGCATCGCCGCGGCGGCTGCGGAGGCCCTGTCGGACAGCGGCCGACACGGCTACGCGGCGGGTTGGGGCTTGACGGCGGTTTCGGAGTGAGTGAGTGAGTGAGTGAGTGAGTGAGCTCCAGCGGGGTATGATGCGAGCCGGGGAGCCGGGGAGTGTGCTCCTGTTGCTGGCAAGAGGACAAGGGGGGGATATGGGGGGGGGGGGAAAGACGAACCACGAACGAGTGAAGCTGCTGCTTCCAGGGGAAGAGTGGATATGGGGGGATGTGGACGGGTCGGGAGGAGGAGGAAGATGGTGGTGTTAAGCTGCTGTGGCAAACTGAGCCGAGCCAGGTGGTGGTGGTGTCGAACGCCGGGAGCTGTGGGATCTGTGGGAAATGTGAATTTACCTGGGTAGCTGTGGGCGGCGTCTCGGAGTATTGAGTTAAGGCCTGGCGCTCCCTCACCCGGTGATGGCGGTTTATTGGTGGTGGGTGGGGTGTGGGTAGATGGTCCTCTGTTATGGGTTGGGTTGGGTAGGGTAGGGTAGGGTAGGGTAGGGTAGTTCTGTTACCGAGCGTTGCGGTGTTGTACACTCACATCTGTACAGCAGTAGTAGCAGCATCAGCAGGGGTGTGAGAGGCAGGGCTGTATGTTGTGTTTTAGGGGTTTAACTGCAAAGGTCGGTTTCGGGGCTTGCGCGTTTTTTGTTTGTCCCATTCAACCGTCCGTGTAGCAAAGTGCAGGGAAAGAACCTGGTAGACGGTAGATTTAGAAAGTTGAAAACGCAGCAGTTACACTGGGTTGTTCTCGGGACGACAACGTCCAACGTGTGGACGAGAGCCAAAAAGAGCCAAAGAGCCAAAGAGATGCACCTATTGGAGTGACTCACGGCTGCCGTGTATTTGTGCAAATGAAGACTGCGGGGGGGCTTAACATCATACGCGTACGTCTTCTTGCTGTATCCATCTACTGTAACTGTGGCGCCACTGATTGCGCATCTGCCCCAGACACAAGGTCCATAGATGCATTAACAATTACAAGCGCTCCAGGAGTGGCATTGCGTCGAATGGAAAGCGCAGTTACAGCATCTCGCGGTGGCATCGTTTCGGCTTCCTGTGCGGTGATCCTCGCGTGCCATTCCCATTTATATTTCCCTTATATTGGATTGATGATCATTACTATTATACTAATTTAATGATACTACGAGCTTCTACCTGTTTCGTAGGGAGCTTGAGACGTGCTGACATCTCGGAAGTGTGGATAAGCTGAAAGCTTGTCTAGAAGAATAGCTCATCCGCGAGTTAATAATAACGGATCGGCCAAGTAGATCCGCAACATTTTCCCCTAGGTAAGGAAAACAAAAGTGGCCTAGGTAGGGATTACCAGAGCTGCTCGTCCGCGAAGCACTCGTGAGCAGAACGTTTCTAGCTCTGCATAGACATCACACATTCAGATATAAATGTGTTTATAGGCCTGGCTCATTTGGATGTTCTGAATACTGATTTCCGCAAGGAAGGTTTCCGCCCGAGGATAAGGCCTTTCAACGTTGGAGCATGCAACTCTAAGAACATTTGCAATGGAGCTATTATTGTGTTTAAAATCTGGCCCTCACATTGTTGGCTCAAATTGGCCCTGAAATTTTAAGGCCGAGTGGCTCGACATGTACATGATTATATGGCCTATCTGCACATCGAGGCCACGACCCTGTTACCAGTTTCTGCACCGTTAGGTGTCATGACCCAAACGCGCCTCTCCTGAGAGCATTCAAAATGCCTGTTCGCCCGTCCACCGCTAAGGACAGCCCTAACGCCGCACTGCGCGATGTCCTCCTAAAGTTTTTCGCCGATGGACCGCACCTCGCCGCGCTGCGCTACCGCATCTGCACCAATGCCATCAAAATACCGCTGCAAGCCATCGTGCGGGGCGGCCCGCTGCAGGCTCCGCCATCTCTCCCCAAGGAAGCCGACCTGCACGCCATCGTCAGCGCCCAGGTCCACGACCACCTCTTTGTCCAAACCCTTGTTGACCAGCTCCCCTGGGATGATAGCAAACGTGCGGCAGAGTTTGTCACACTGCTGTGCTCAGACCTCGAGGATTTAGATTCCCGCGTCCGTGCCGCCGCCTTCAACAGCAGAAAGCTCGGCGGCATGCCCTCTATGACACAAGTCCGCAGGGAGCCCTCCGCCGACCTGTCGGCAGCCCTCAGCAAGGCCATTGCCGTACAGCGGGCGGGCGACGCCGGCCGCGCCGTCTCCGGGGGTCTCACCGTGCCGTCGTCCTCCACATGCCTGGTGGTGCTGCTGGTGGACACTGCAGCACTCCGCTCCGCAGAGCTCCGACCCTGGAGTGCCCCCACCGGCTCAACTTCGATTGTAACGCATACATCATCATCAGCAGCAACAGCAGGAACAGGAGCAGGAGCAGGGGTAGGGGCAGCAGCAGCAGCAGCAGGAGGAGGCGGCGGCGGCAGCAGCACCATGAGCTACACGCACCGATTCGTGCTTCTGGTGGATGGCAGCGGTGTGGGACTCTACCAGGCATGGGGCCCCGCAGACGGTAGTGGCGGCAGTAGCAGCAGCTACAACTGCAACCCCTCCAGCGGTCGCAGCAGTAGCACCAGCATTAGCAGCAATGGCGGCAGTGCTGGGGTAGACAGCAGCAGCAGTTACACACTACACGACTGGTTACAGAGCCGGCAGCAGCAGCAGCAGCAGCAGCAGCAGCGTGCATCATCACCAACCGCAGCGCCCTCCGCCGTTATGTCGTACGAGGAGGCAGCTGCCTTTGCTCGTACATTGCATGAGTTTTGCGAACGATTGACCTGGGATGAAACCGCGAATCGATTGTACCGCCAGCTCTTCGGAGTGGACCTGGCCGCGAGGGTGGCAGCTCAGGCGGAAAAGGAGGGTGCAGGAGGAGGAGGAGGAGGGGTGATCTCACTGCCAGGACGTATTCGGAGCTGGGTGCGCATTCTTGAAGTGCCGTACGTTACGGCAGCGCGTATACGAACCAATGCGAGGCTCTTCATGTAGGAATGTACTGATGGACGGACATACTTGTACGGATGAACAGACAGACAGGGAGACGGACGGACAGACAGGCGGTAGGGGTTGAGGTCTGAGAAGGAGTGGGAGGAGTGGGAGAAAAGAGGTAAGGAAAGCCCAACTAAGTTCCCGGATGCGGTGCGGTAATGGTGGTGGTAATGGTGGTGATTGTGGTGGTGGCGGTGCTAAGGGTCTGTGGTGTCGCATGTCGGTCGCACGGTATCCGCCGTAACCTGAAATTCATTCATTTGTTCGTTTGTTTCGAATATACGTTGCTTTCTACGTTGCAAATACGGGCCAGCCACGGACAACTACAGCCCGGGTGTGCGCGGGGAAGAGGAGAAATAACCCCCACCCCGCCAACCACAGGAACCGGGTTTATCAGGGTTGGAAAAACTTGCGATGCGACGATGGAATATGGTTGTGGTTGCGGTAATGGTGGTGAATGTGAGAGAAAGGCTCTCCAAACAGCTTGGTCTTGGGGAAGCGTGTGCGTGTGCGTTTATGTGTGTTTTGTTTTAGCGGTTAGGGTCGGTTGGGGATTTCCTAATGTGGCTTTCTTTCCATAGCCCAAGTCCTTAAAAGCCCCCTGCCCACCTGCCAGCTGAGGCAGTATGTGTTACGAACTAAACCCTGTTAAGTGACACACGTACAGACAGACATATGCCCCACAGGGCTGTGGGGCATCATCACACACACACACACACATTCACTTCTGGACCTATGACGGCGTGTCTCCAAGAGGTGAGGCTGTCACACGTGGACGACATCATCACCACTGCGCCGCCAGCGCGGTGGCTGCACACCGAAGATGTGGGAATCTCCAGTTCCCACGCAGACGTTCTTACACACGTCCATGCTCAGGGACCCACAGGACAACATACATGCTCACAGAACATGTACCCATACACACAAGTACGAGTCCCTCATTGTCGCGGTCTTGCCAGCCGAACACACACACACACATATATATATATTGTACTCTTTACAGTGAAGGAATGGATTGGGGATTTGCAAGAAGAAGGGGTAAGAGCAAATGGACCTGGGGTTTGTTACGGCAGGCGACAGCGAAAGCAGCCGTACAGTACGGCACCCATATCAGCAGTAGCACCATCAGCATGTAAATGGTGACATTGATAACCTTTTGGCAATGACGATGTCGATCGCCAGTACCCCTACCCCTGCCCCTACCCTTACTACCCCTGCCACTAAACCCGCAACAATGTATCTGTGTGTGTGTCTGTGTGTGTTACGTGGTCTTGGGTTGCGTTCCCCGTACCTGCAAACCGCCCAATACGAGCCGTGGCCTCAAGGGCTGCCAGATCGCCTAAAAGCACCATCCTACCTCGCACAATGTATCTGATACGCGCGCTCCTACCCCCCCCCCCCCGTCAACCCCCCAGACCCCGCCCGCGGCCTCTGCCACTATGTTGAGTTCAAATTACTCTGCGCCAGCCTACTCCAAACTCCTTAAACGCTCGTCAGTGCATCTCTCCAGTCTAATCAAGGTGTCGTACAGCACCATATCGTGCTCGCTCAGCACCCGCATCATTGCAGGGGCCCGATGTGCGCAGAACTGGCGGGGCGGCACGGCGGCCGGGCAAGTGGGGTGTGCCACCCCCCAAAACGCGAATGCGGCCGCGCAGGAGGGGGCCAAAGACAAAAAAGGACGACGCAATAGGGAACAGCACACCGGCAGATATGATGCAGAGCAGCAACCGGCCGATGGCGATGGTGGGTCCAATCGTTGGGTGAACACATCGCAGTGCTTGCGCGCCCTAAGCGCGGGGCGCACATGTCTTCTGCGCCGTACAATGCAGCTCACTCGTTGTCGTACATCCCAACAGCAAGGTCATGTCAAATAGTTTGCTGCAAGCAGCATAAGCTGGATGGTGATGATGATGATGGAGATGAAGATGAGAATGCGAAGTGAACGACAAAGGAAGCGCAGTCAGTCAGGCCGCACGACCAAGTCAAAACGCAAGGCGCTGAAATGTTGAGTTCAAATATTGGTTATTCCCTAACACAACCAAAACTGCTTTGCCCCAGAAAAAAATTACTGGTTCCTGTCCCGATTTGGCCAGGAATCTAAAATTAGATTCACTCGTCTCCCGTACACACTCGGCCTTACTTGTACATTTGCAGTACTGCAAAAAAGGAATGCACTCCGACATCGCCGGTGCGCGCAGGCTGAAAGGGCATAGGCTCCGTTTCTCGTTGGGATGCCACGATGATTACAAAGAGGGCCGAGCGACTTAAGCCAGCTAACAACCTACAAGATGTAACAATGATGACATAACAAACTAAACAACAACAACGACTTAAATAGTTATCCAGAGCCTAGGCGGCGCCGGAAGGTCGTACATTATCCGTATCTCAAATGATCGTCCACGAGTAAAGTTAACGACTTAACAACTAACAAGAAAACCTAACATGCCCCCCTGCTTAGCTCAAGCATCGGCCTCGATGCGACCAAAGTACAAACTATGCTAAGTCGTGCGCCGCTCCGATTCCCTGAACGAAATCGGTACCAGGCTAACGAGGGGAAGGCAAAAGGGAACCGGAGTCAAGGCAAAACCTTCCCCGCACTGGATACCGGCCTAAATAAGGCGCACGACACCTATACTTGCCGGTCTGAGGAACCGGTATATATCCCAACGAACGTGTCCAAAACATCCACAAAGAGTACGCAAACCAAAAGCCTAAGGCACGGAAAGCAAACTCGGTGGATGACAAAAGAACGCAAGAGAACGCGAAAATACACAACATGCAACACGCAATACCCCGAAAAAAACAGAAGTCAAGACACGACACGCGCAAAACTGAGGCGAAATAACCCAAACTGAAACACACAGGACACGAGTCACACACAACACACATCCTA